CATGCAAGCATTCGGTAGAAGAAAAAAAAAAAGAAGAGAGAAATCCCTGAAGCAACCAAGCTTAGTGATATGAGAGGAAGAAGAGTAGGAGATTAAGGAAGCCAAAATCCTCAACCATTTTGTCACCCTACAACTAAGTAAGAAAACCTTCTCAACCCTCTCATTTATTTTTATTAGTGAAACTTTCAGATTACTTCCTTGTGATTAAAATGACTACTCATAAATAGAAATTTTATATGTATGTGTAGGAAAACTGTGTTGAGAATAATCTATTTTGAATCTGTCAGCATGTTTACCCGAATTTTTAGATAATTTTACACTCAAAATTTCGAGATGATTTCTTCTACAAAATTATTGATAATGACGTCTAGTTTATCCAGAAATTTTTGGAAACAATTTTTGAGCTTTCTACGAATTTATACAAATTTTTAACTAAATCTGAAACTGTGTTGAGAATAATCTGTTTTGAATCTGCCAATATGTTTACCCGAATTTTTAGACAATTTTATACTCAGAATTTCGAGATGATTTCTTCTACAAAATTGTTTATAATGATGTCTAATTTATCTAAAAATTTTTGGAAATAATTTTCGAGCTTTCTACAAATTTATACAAATTTTGTACTGAATCTGAAACTGTGTTGAGAATAATCTGTTTTGAATCTGCCATCATGTTACCCGAATTTTTAGATAGTTTTATGCTCAAAATTTCGAGATGATTTATTCTACAAAGTTGTTGATAATGATGTCTAGTTTATCCAAAAAAATTTGGAAACAATTTTTGAGCTTTCTACGAATTCATACAAATTTCTAACTAAATCTGAAACTGTGAGACAGATTTTACCATGTATTTGAAAATTTATTTAAAATTCTATACTAAGCCAAATCTGGTAATTTCTAACTAAAAGATGAAATTTGAGAAGTCTAGTTTCATGATAAATTTTTAGATTATGGGTTTGATCTATAAATTTAAGCATGGAATTAATGTAAAGAAATGTGACAAATCTGTGTCATAAACACCCTTGGAATTTCTTTAGAATTATTTATAAGTTATTTTTGGAAAATGCTTTCTGAAAAATAACCATAACATGTTTATTGAGTATCCTGTAGATTGATATGAATTTTAGAGTTGTATAAGTAATGTATTTATAATTTTATTTGCAAGATATATACTCTGAAAATTTTCTGGACAGAATAAAATCACCACTTTAATATTATGCTAGTCTAATTTTGTAAATAAAAAATTTGTGCATGTGTGTGTTTAGGGTTTAATTCTTGTATCTAAGTTATTATTCCATACCATGGTTTAAATAAATTGTTTATTTAAATTCTGTACTTTTATTTAGTATTGTGTGACACATGCAATATTTTATGATTGGGAATTTTAATGAGTTGTATAACATTACTTGTGATTAAAAATTTGGAGTTATTTGTGATTAATATCAAAATTAACTGAAATGATTAACGACATATACAAAGTTAACAATTGACGGTTAATACCAGTTGTTCGGGGTGAGTCTTGGTTTAAAGACTGTACGGAATTAAGGGTTGACGGTTAACACCGGTTGTTCAGGGTGAGCCCTGGTTTTGAGAATTCTCACGTAAATTGTGTTGCGAAACTCTAAGATGGCACGGGACTTATTTGAACCCTTTTCGGTATTCGGTTTTGGAATAAGGGTGGATGTGCAGGTGGCACACAGGGAGGTTACTTACCCCTGGCAGACCGTTTCCTTGGGACAGACCACGGATGCCACTACTTGGGTATATAACTCGGGACGTGGGCATCCCTGGTAGTTACGGTTGGTAACACTTAAATATTTGACCAAGGGAGGGTTTCAAATTAACCGTTGCCATGCTTAGTGGTTGGTAAGTTAAATCTCTTTGGTGAGATTTCGAGTGTCACCTAATTTATAAAAATTGCTGAAATTATTCTAATGGTTGTAAATTCTGTGTATAATTATATTGTTATCTCATGTTTAGAATATTATTATTTTTCTCTTAAAAAGAATGGGAGGTTGGTTATGTTTTCTTACTGTGTTGCAAAACTCATGGCATATATTTTGTTGCCCTGGCGTTTCATGCCAGATTATGTTGAAGAAGGGACTGAGGCTGAAATTGGAGCTGCTGCCAATATCAAACCTTGGCTGACTTAGAGTCAAGATTTTATCGAAATAAAATCCTGTTATCCCTTGTATTAGGATTTAACTATGTTGTGACGTTGGGTGTGAATTTGTAGTTTTATTTTGTTGTTGGACTTTGACTATGTAAGAACTTAAAAGTTCCTAATTAGTAGTTAAAACTTTATCTAGCAAGTTATCGTTATTTAAATCTTATGACGTTTCAAAAGAAAAATTTTGGGGCGTCACACTCTCTCACTATCTTCCCTCTCTCTTTCACTCTGTCTTGCCTCTCAAACGGATCTTTCTCTCTCACTCTCGCACTGTCTTCCCTCTCCCTTTTACTCTATATTTCCGCTTCTCAAACCGATCTTTCTCTCTTTCTCCCACTTTCGCACTTTTTCCATCTCTTCATGGATCTATGTACTCTCCGACCTGTCTTTCTCACCCTCGCTCTGTCCTTGGTTCCAAGTGTTCACCTCCACACAATCGCAGCCCATTTCCTATCTCCCTCTCTGTCTCTGGTACGATCTCTATCTATATATATATATGCTTTGATTTTTTGTTTATTTTTTCTGGTTATTAATGTGGAGGTGATCGTGATTTTTCAAACTCATGTCTTGCGATGGCTTCAAACCGGATCTTCAAAGAACTCAAGCATCTCCAGATCTTCAAAAAACTTAGGTTTGTACTCTCCGATTTATTGTAATTATTTATTTTGATTTTTGGTTTAATTTTTGTTCATCCAACTAATTTTTGTTCATCCATTGATTTTATTTTAATATTTATTTTGATCTTTAAATAACTCAAGCCTATTTTGGTTTGGTTTATTGTGATAATATCCATCTAATTTTTACACTCCATTTGGATCAATTGATTTGGTGATAAATGATTTTTTTTTTTTTAAAATAAAGAGAAATCGAATTTGAGTTTGTCACATTTATTTTGAAATTTGTGAATTTGGCAAAAAAAATTGTAAATTAGGTTTGATTATAATATTTGGGTTTGATTATGAATTTTTGGGGTTTTCTACTGTTGCAAATCTGTTTCTTTAACTGCATTTGGTGTCAAAAATCTATTGATATTTACTGATCTGACAAGTTTGGCAAATGCTATTCAACCTTCCAAATTTGAGAACAAAAGTGGTATCTGCTATCATTGACAAGTAGAATAACAGGCCATTGAAAACTCTATTTTCGTCATTCTTATCAAATTTTAGCTTTGACAGATTGAATAATAACTTCATTAAAGATGCTCTAAGGTTTTCGTCATGCCGTAGTGGTGGTGGACGTCGTGTACGATGTCGTTTATTAGCAAAATTATTGAAGTTCATCAAACTTCATCAATCAAACGTCGTTTATAAGCCAAATTGACCATGGTTGAGTCAAAAAAATTACGAAAACAGGACGGATAAGTAGGGATATCAATTCTGTCACCTTACACTCATGTTATTTAATAGGGGTGGCCGCGGGTCGATTGCGGCCACGGAACCTCAAATTCGCCATTCGTCCGTTAGATTAACAGATTGGAGAAAATCAATCCACATCCATCCACCAATCCCGGCGGATGTGGATTGCGCAGATTGGCGGTTTGACGGATGGATGAAAATCGGCTTGGCGGTTTAAAATTTTCAACATAATTCAACTTGTGCAATTCCTAAAAAAAAAAAAGAAAAAAAGAAGAATGTATTACAGTTAATGACTTAAAAAAATATTACAATCATTGTATGTCTCGTCCAAAGTAAGAAAGTTTGAAACTTTAGAATATCACAATTACTTCATGCCTTATCCAAGTATTATAATCTATGATTTTTAAAATATAAAAACAATTCAAACCACCAAAACCATGAACAGCGCAGTAGTAGAGATTGTATGTCTCTGTATTGTTACATCTATATCTGTTTTTTAAAACAAAAACCAACTAACATATATCATAGTTTCTATTTATTATTTTTAGAGATAGATTTAAAAACCAAAAAATATAGATAAATAATATGTTTATTTTTTTCAATTCAAAAAAGATATTCAAGTTGAAAACTTTTTTTCAACAGAATATTTAAACTATTTTTTAATTAAAAACGCAAACAAAATTTTTAAACAAACTGAAAACACAAAGTCTTATAAATTACTAGGCGTGATCGCGGTTTGGCGGTTCGGTTGCGGCCAAAAGAATCTTAAATCCGCCATTCGTCCGCCAGATTGGCGGATTGGAGAAAATCAGTCTGCAACCGTCCGCTCATCATCACGCATCCGTCCAAAATTTGGCGGACCGGTTCGGTTCGGTCGGTTTTGACGAATCGGTATATCCGCTGCTCACCTCTATTATTTAGGGATTGTTTGGAATGCTTTAAATAAGTGTACTTTTTGAATTTTTGGATTAAAAGTTGAGAAAAAAAATATGATTGTTTAGGTTAACTTTTTGACTTTTTATAGAAAAATATGTATTAAAAAATTGTATAAATTAGCGTGTAAAGAAAAATTAGAATTGAAAATTATACAATTTTACTTTTTAACTTTTAGTAAACAATGATAATTTTTTTAACTTTTTAAAATATTTTTTTAAATTTTTGACTTTGGCTTGGTTTGGGAAGTAGGTTGGTTTTTTGACTTTTTTGGCTATTTTAGCTTGGGCTAAAAAGCTTGGTTTGGGAAGAGTTTTTTGACTTTTTGGTTTTTTTGGCTTTTTTTGTGAGAGAAGAATGTAATGATTATAGGTTGGATGTGATGTTTTGTTTGTTATGACTAAAATAGCCTATTTTATTTTTTGTGACTAAAATAGCCAAAAAAGCCTGAAAACCATTTTGCCAAACAGAGGCTTTTTAAGTTTCCAAACAGGACCCGTCCCAAGCAAATAACAGACTGAATGCGCGCACGCCACGTGGCGCATTACCACTACCACTAAATGGGCACGAACTTCAAAGTTCAATAAACAGGCAAAAACCAGTCCACGGCGGCGAAATCACTGATGTCGACGGCGACGGCGTCGTTTCTAGTTCACAATCGCCCACCCCTCGCAACTCTACACTTCAATTCGAAACCTCCAAGAAGAAGACGAGTTGTCGCGTTCAGCCCTAGAACATGGCCTTTCGAGAGAATCGTTTTGAGGACTGGTTTGGTTTGCGGCGGAGCTCGGCGGAACTCCCCCACCACCGCCTCCGCTCAGCCTCTTCCGGAAGGGGATGGCGATGGCAATTTGCGGCGAGTCCTGCAGTTCAGTCTGTGGGTTGCTGAGGGAATCTATATATTGTGGCTCTTCTTGCTTCCTTATGCCCCAGTATGTAACCATTTCTCTTCTTTACAATTCATATTTACACTCTTATGTATATATTATCTGTACATGTGCGCTCTGTGTTTGGTTTTAAAAAAAAAACAAAAAACAACTACTTCCAGATGAGAATGTGCAGTTTTGAAAATGGGATGTCAGATGTTTATATTGTTGTTTATTTTTATTAGAGCATTGTTATTAAACGCAAATAATTAGACTCAATTTTTAATTTAATGATGTAAGTGATTAATTAGGATATTAAAGATAAAATATTTTATTATATCTTTACTAATTATTAACTAATCATGTCACTTAGGTAATTATTATATCATTTTTTTTTATTATTACTAGGTCCTAAATGCAATGCATTTGTAATTTTATATTTAATTTTTTAATCGGGTGATGAATGAGAAAGATAGTTCAATTTGAAAACCTTGAAAACCTACTTACTGGATGTGAAGTTTTAAATTAATCGAATTGTGATTTTGAAAAAGAAAAAATGTGAGCAGTTAACAATTTTATGGGTATTCTTGAAAATAAATAAATAAACAATAAGTATAAGAAAAAAAGAAAAAAGTGACAAAGCTTCAAGATGTTCCGAGTTCTGTGTTTTATATACTAATAGAATTTACACAATGGTCCTGTTTGGTAGAGTTGTGAAAAAGTGCTTATAGCTTATGCTTAAACAACTTATAACTTATAACTATGAACATAAGCTAATTTTTGATTTATAAATTAAGTATCTCCTGTCCCACTCAAAGAATAAGCTGATTTCTGACTTTTAAAAAGTTATAAGCTATATAAGTTAAACTAAACACATCAAAATAGCTTAAATTAAGCTGAAAGCTGAAATAAGCAGCTTTTAAGCTACACCAAAAAGGGCCAATAGCTTTTTTGATTGCATTCTAGTGCCTTTTAACTGGAATTTCTGGTGACGCCTGTGGATGAAAATTAACACATTATCTACTCTCCCAACTTGTACTATACTATCATGGACCTAAAATTTTAGTACTCAAAATGAGTTGTAACTCATACTAATATTGGCCGGACAAGAGTAACACAAATTGAGTTCGAACTCATTTGATTAGATTAATAATTGTGTCAATGTCTGAAGATCCATATGGTTGATTTGCTTTGGGGGTGCTTTACATTCTCATGAGAACAAAGATCCTTAACATACTAATATTTAAGTGCAAGAATTCGTTTTTCTCATCTCATGGCACTTAGTATTTTGAAGATCATATCTGGCCTAACATTTCAAGACCGAGGCATTGTTATGTGCCCTCTGAATGCTGAGGAAAAGAAAATGAAATGACTTTGTTTTAGTTTTCATTACTTAACATAATAGAGCCACTTATCAGTTCTGCATTGTTGCACTTGAGGTAAAAAGTGTTGCACTTTTTTGTAAATTTATCACAAAATTTTGTTGTACATGGTTCAGGGGGATCCTGTATGGGCGATCAGTTCAGACACGATTAATTCTCTTGTGGGCCTTTCTCTAAATTTCTTCTTTATTCTGCCTTTAATGAACTCTGGTATGTTTAGTTATTGTCGGTTGCATCATTGACTTGATATTCATGGTTCTCTCTTCTTTTGAATATGTTTACATTTTTCATGTCAAGCTTGACACCTTCAGCAGCAACTCTTCGTCTTCTTCAACTATTGATGCTAATTCCAATCTCATGGTTGATTGAAAAATCTCCTCTCTCTCTTTTCCTATATCATATTGCATTACTTGTTATTAGTCAATTCAATGCATATTGATATTCGTACACAAATTCTAAAGTTCCAATTATCAATAAGGTTGTGGAAATCGCCTTCACCATTGACCATATTTTTGTTTTTCTGGGCTTGTGAGTTCAATTCTTTCCAAATATGATATGCTTTTCCTTTGTTGATTCATTGCAGGGACTATGTTTTATGACAAATGGGTTCACTTAAAAGAAATACAATTATGAAACTAAGTGATTTGATATGAATCCAATATGATTAAATACTCGTCTAGTTTGGTTGTACCTGCAACTTTATGTGCAAGCCCAAGGTAGTAAGTAATGAGGCATGTGGTTACCGCAGTTTCTGCTGTGTTCTAATGAAAAATATGATATGAATTCAGTTTTTGGACTCATTTCTTTCCTGTAGCATTGGAATCCATTTTGCATTGTGAAATATAGATATTTGGTACCTCAATAATCACTTCACTGGAAAAATGCTTTTATTCAGTCTGATGTTTTATTTTTTCATTTATTTACTTTTTTTAACTAGTATGCGATAAAATGCTTCCAAAATCAATTATTCTGAAGACAGAGCAGTCGTAACTGTAACACACACAGATGAAAACAACAAACTGTGTATCAATTTTAGTGTATCTTATTACATTATACCATTGATCATTTATGCAAATCAACTTTTTGGCAGAGTAGTTGGCATTCGTCTCATTGATGCACCAGTACTTCACCCAGTAAGGATCAGTAATTCTCTATGCAAACTAACTTTGCAAATAATCCATCATATTCATCCTATCTATTGATCTACATCACAATTTTGAAATAACACAGTTTTTCTTCTATACAGATGGCTGAGGGACTATTCAACTTTGTTATTGGGTGGACTTTCATGTTTGCTCCCTTGCTATTCACGGATTATAAACGAGACAGATACAAGGGTTCACTAGACATTTTATGGGGCTTCCAAATGTTCCTTACAAACAGTATGTTCACTAAACTCTCGTCCTTGATTGGTAATGTGATCATTGCTATAATCAATCGTTCCCTTTACGAGAAACTTGCATTCTTCAGTAGATCTGAACGAGTTTTTTAGGATAAGAATTAGTTTAATTGGATTCCGTGACTAAACTTTTGCCCGTTTAGATTAGTACAAGGGATCAGAAATTTTCGCTCAGACGAATGTGTTTGTGGGATTTCTTCAATGTAAAGATACTTGAAAAGTATGGGATGCTACTATACAACAATTTCAAATATCTTTCAATGCATTTACCCTTCTTTTAGTACCCAGCTGGCAAGTAATATTTGGCAAAACTTTTTTTTACCATTTGATCTGTTAATACTCGGTTGCTAAATGACTGAGATTGTACTAGAAATTTTGCAGCTTCTCTGTCCACTTTTTTCATTTTTGGTCAAGTCATTAAATTGATCTTCTATGCTCCTAACAATTTTTTTGTAGAAATTTGGTGCATACTGTTTTTACTGTGAAACATACATATGTTTTACTTTGTTGGGGGTTTTCCTTTGTTCAATTTGTGATCATATTAATGCCCTAGGAATCAGTGTAATCTGATCATTGCATCCTCTTCCCCTTTTCTTTTTCTTCCCATTGACATAATGTTTTGTATGCCTAGTCAAAATTTTCAATTCACCACATTGTGTGCAATTTCTATATGATGCCAGCATTCTTGATACCTTACATGGCGATCCGGCTAGATTCGGCTGATGCCCAGAATACTCCAACAAAGTCCTCTCAACTAGCTTCTGTGATGACTAATGGTGCACCTGTTGTCGGATTGATTGGTGGTGCCATATGTTTGATATCTACATTGTGGGCACTGTTTGGCCGACCAGATGGTAATTTTGGGGGCATTGCGGACAGATGGGACTTCTTGGTAAGTTATATAGGATCCGAGAGGCTGGCTTATGCCTTCATTTGGGATATATGTCTCTACACAATCTTCCAGCCTTGGTTGATTGGTGATAACATACAAAATGTTCAGAAAAGCAAGGTTAATATTGCGAATTATCTTAGATTTGTCCCGGTAGTTGGCTTAGTCGTGTACCTTGTCTGTTTGAATCTTGATGAAGAGGTATAGTTAAATGAACTATTGATTGAACCCATATATCTATACTATATATATAACCAAATGTAGTTGTATTGGTAAAAGTCTCCAAATATTCATTATTAAATTCTCATAATTTTAAAACTCTCTCTTTCTTACGTGGCAACCCTCTTTGATTGTCTTTCATATTTTCTGTTTTCCTCCATTTTCTATTTGTTTGATTAATTAAAATGAAAATTAATTTTATGGTTTATGGATAAAGATTTGAATTTCAAAATTCCTCCATATAGATAAACATATAAAAATTAATAAATAATTTATGAAAATTAATTTCATGGTCTACAGATAAACATAAAAATTAAATAACTAATTTAAAAAAATTAATTTCACAACTTATAGATAATTTAAAATTTCTTCCCAAAAATGAACTTATAAAAATTGATAAATAACTTATAAAAAATAATTTTATGACTTACAGATAAATTAGGGGCCTTCTACAATATTGAAGAGGGGCCAAAAATATGATATTTTACAGTTGATGGCCAAGC